AATTTGAGAACTTGTACAATAAATATTTGTACTTGTACGCTAAATTTTACACTCACAGCTCCGTTGTGAAAACCTGTAAAATAAAAATCTGAAGTTGAATGTTGAATTCGTACTCACAGACATAGTCACAAACCTGTTTCTGAATTTGAAGTTGCAGACAAGAAGTCACAAATGTGTCAAATGTCATTCACAGAAATACAATGACAGACACAAACTTCAAGTTACTACAAGTTTGTGTCTCATTGTATTTCTGTGAATGACATTTTACACATTTGTGACTACTTTTCTGCAACAACTGCGAGTGCAAATCTCAACATTCAACTTCAGATTTGTATTTTAAAGGTTTTCACAGGAACTTGTACAATAAATATTGTATACATTTTAGTGTGCAAGTACAAGTATACTGTACAAGTTCTCAAAATCACATCTACATGCTCTCGAGTTTTGCTTCTCTTTTACCGTCATAAGACATCCTCTTTATTTTGAGCCAGGTTTGCAGATTCTGCAGTTGTTTACTGTGCACTGTTCACCCTGTCGGTAGTGTACACAAGGTAACTGCTCAGGTTTGTCCCGTGATTAATTGCTGATTGTAGTATAGCTCAACCTGGAGCAGGAACACACTGTTGTTCCATTCTCTTTCACCCTCAGAGATTCTGCCGAGAATCGCTGCGCTTTCACAACTTCTGTAAATAGACAAACCATGCACTGCAGCTTCTAAATATATCATGCCAGCGAAGTTTTTCTGATCATTTGTGAAAATCCAGGGCAGACTTGAAAATGATATGCAGATCGCTTTGTCTCTGTGGGGTTTAGTCTGTTTTTTTTGCACGCTCTGTTGTCGCAGTACATATGTTTTGGGAAAAAAGTCCTTGGTTTTTAGGGTTTGTTTATGTGGATATGTGATAAAGCACTATGTATTTTTTAAAACGTTAAAATTCAATGCATAGCAACATTATTGGGGTTATCCAATACAAAACTTTGAAAGCCAAAGGGCTTGATTGTCTTATAAGAAGGCATTCCTTACCGCAAACCAAATAAACCCTCAGTGTAAGGACGTAGATAAAACATAATTGACTCCCATGCTGCAATTTGGTCAGAGAGATCTTTTTTTTCACAAATCTAAATAAATGGATGTAATTGATGAGTCAAACAGCATTGATTTCCAATACGCTCATTTGCATTGCAGGAAAGTAAAAAGAAGTGAGAAATGGGGCAGTTGTGTGTGATTGGTTTGTCTGTCTCTGTTCTTTACACTGATGAGTCAGACGCTGCTTTGTGAATGATTTCATTTAGATCAGATTAAAGCTGCCTCTGACGGTTAATCTGGGAGTTTAGCCACTGCAATCATCAGGAATCATCTGATTGTCATGGGATTATGACTTTAGAGAGAAGACGAGGTCAGACGGCTGTGCGAGGACATTCAAACCTATACATAGACATACACTGAGACTGAGCTAAACAGCTTAGTCATGATGTTAGAGGTCAGGAATGAGGTGCTATACGGGCATAACATTTGCTAAGGCAAACAGAACTCGGACAGGAAACGGCATTTGCACCTCAATGTACTTTCATAAAACAGGAATCAGTGAAATAGGATTTTCAACTGAAAAAAAAATTGATCATTAAAAACATTGTAAAACAATGGCTAAATAGCTATTTGGTGATTGGCTAAAATTATCTAATGATATTAAAATACTGTTCAAAACCTTTTGGGTCAGAAATACAGTAATAACAGTCATATTGTGAAATATTATTACATGTGGCTGTCACTTTTGATCAATTTAACGTGTCCTTTCTGAAGTATTAATTTCTTATTTTTTTCAAATGTTTAAAAATGTTTTTAAGTAATATTATTGTAACGTGCAGACTTGTTTTAGTTTAATGTTTCATGGACTTTTAGTTTGGTTCTCATTATTTTCTGTTTTTCCTTTCTGTTTTCTTGGTTTCTAAGTATGTTTGCATTTGTTGTCATAGTGATTCTTTAGTTGATTGATTAGTCCCCATCTGTGCCTTGTTTTCCTCAGTTAACCTGTCTACATATGGCCCTCATTCTCAGTTGTTTTTTTGTCTGTTCTTGTTGGTGTATAGTTTGGTTTGCTTTCTCCTGCGTGCTTCTGTTCTGTCCAGTGTTCCAGAGTGTTTTTTTTTTTTTTATCTATTGTTAATTAAAGTTGACTGCTCGAAATAGTGATGGGAGAAACAAAGCTTTTCAAAGCTTCAAATGAATTTAACTAATTGCTTCACAAAATGGTTCACTGTTTCGAAGTGTTTGAAACCCTTATACTGGTGACGCCTGCTGGTCAAAACAGTGTAAATGCAACAAAAAAAAAAACCCATAAAAACAGCTTTTACAAATCATTACAAATGTTTTAATGAAAGTATAATCTACCAAATGCAATTATCTTTTATCAATTTCCAGGGCTTGTTTTGTTTGTTCTATGGATGGCTCAGCTAAACAGGGAAATAAGAGACCACTAAGTCATTAAGTCTAGTATTATTCCTTTTAATTATTCAAATGTCGCATTAAAACATCTACAAAGGTATTAAACTGATCAGAGATCAGGTGAAAAAGACACTTGTTCAATGGTTCGCTGCTGGGGGGCGATCTCAGTGAATTTGCATGATTCATGGGTTCACAGAGATCATCGCCCCCCAGCGGTGAACCACTGAAATTTCAAATCATTTCGAAACAGTTATGACAAAATGAAGGCTCATTTTCTGAAATCACGTGACTTTGGCAGTTTGATATGCGCTCCGAACCACTGATTCGAGACTAAAGATTTGTAAAGGTTTCAAAGCTTCATGAAGCAGTGTTTCGAAAGCGTCCATCACTACTAGCTAAATAGATCCTGTTTCTGTAACGGACGTAGGCCAGTTCACGAGTTCACACTTAGGGGGCTTTCACACTGGCAGTTTAGTTCGGAACGGGGCACGGTTCGCATGAAAAAGACGCTAATGTGAACGTTGTCATGCGGACCCGGGTGCACACTGGGGTACCGAACCCGAGACTACCTGGAGGGGGTGGTCTGAGTTCGGTTGCTCCCGAACCGTGCCGCGGTTCGCGTGAATGTGAAAACAACACGGACTCGGGTGCGCACTTGTTCAGGAAGTAAAGTAACCTGCGCATGCGTTTTAGCTCATTGTGATGTATTCAGTTAAATAAAACACTTGTAAGGGATGATAGTGTTGATGATTTACCTTGGATACGAGCGAGAGTGAGCCTGCAGTGTATTCGTGCATTGCGCGTGGAATCAGGGCAACAAATTTGGAAATCCACTGTCTCCTCAAAAGAGTCCGTTTGCAAGCAGCAGAAGGCCACCTTATGTGACACACGCACAGTAAACCTATGTTGTTCACTCTACTGCGCATAATAGAATTAATAAAAAACACAATATAGACCTGCGTTCTGTTTTCTATCATGCGCCGTGCACGTTTGCGATGACGTAATATGCACGCAAACGCACCAGGGTTCGATAGAATCAAGTTGAGTGTGAAACCAGACCAGCGCTGCGGGGGGCGCCAGGAACAAACACGCTCGGGCTCGGAACACAGCAAACGAGCCCAGTGTAAAAGCCCCCTTACATACTGTGACGGGAGGAGCAACCGACAGACACAGTGGGAGTGGTGTCAAGCCTCGGAGAGGCATTTATTAAATTAATTAAACATAAAATGTCCAAAAGGGGGAAATAAAGTGTTAAAATAAAAGTGGATCTGGTGTCCTCGTTGTGCCAGGGAATCGTGGAGGAAGGTTAGTGAAGAGGTGGGATGGGTCCAGGTAAGGGGCGGTGTCCGACAGTCACACACGTCTTCCCTGTCTCCTTGGGCCGAGGGATGAGTGGGCGGCGGCTTCGCCGTCCTGGTCCGTCAGCGGCGTCACGCATCTACTGTGCTCGGACTGCGGGTCCGGCGACTTGCATCTCCGGCAGCGCGGGAAACTCTCCGCGCTCCCTTCCTGGGCCCACAAGGACAACAGTGTGCATGTACAGGGAAGAGACCGGTCTCCCGAGGAGAGACGCGCTCAGTATTTAATAGGCGGCGGTGATGAGGCTTCATTCTCGTCAGGTGTGCCTCATCACACGCCGCCAATTCTCCTCATCAGCGCCCCTCCTCTCCAATTACCCCCACTCCAGTCGGGAACCTGGCGAAGGGCGGCGAATTAAGGGACGGGGTGGCGCTGATTACGAGGGAGAGGCAGACGATCCGTCACAATACCATTAGAGGGAGTAAAGTTTAATGCGTATTTGGCGTGCTGTCCGGGGGGAGGGCTCCGAGCTCGGAATTCGTCCCAAACCGAGAGTAATCCCCCCGTATGTAAATGGTTAGGACTAGAAGAGTGGAGAAGGGGTGGTGGAGGGATGCTGCAAAACTGTCAATGGATTGAGGTGAGACTGCTGAATCTATATACACCTCTTATCATTGATTGCTGAGTGCTCTTCACCCGTGTTAATTATCTGAACGTGCTCCTCCCGAACTTTGTTAATAAAACATCATTAAGAGCTGTGTGTGTAAACCTCACTCCCCTGGCCTCAAGAAGCACCCTAGCGACTGCGGGTTTTAGTGTCCTTGTTAGCGCGCCCGCCTCCCACATTGGAAACCGCGGTTCGAATCCCGTTTGGAGTGGGTCAAGTAGGACCGATTACATTTCTACGCTCCCTTCTTGCAACCAACCGTAACAATTATAATTTTTTAATACTATCAAAACAGCCTGTAAGTGATGTTAGCCAAAAGGGAATGTTATTTCAGAGGTGGTTCAAGTTATTACATTTTGATAAAAAATTATGAAGACAAACTTTGTTTTTGAAAAATATTGATGCTCTAGCTTTTTGAGATCATGAAATGGGTACCATATGACTAAGGAGATTCATTTAACCTAACTAAATGGAGTCAACTTTGATTTATTGTTGACTTTATTATGACCCCCATTCAGACTTCATTTCAGATTTTATATGATCTCTACTCTACATTGTCCTCACCTAAAATGTTCCCCTTTTTTCTTTTAGTGTGGAACTAGATTTTAAACTTCAAGAGGACAAACTGCAGCCCTTAATGAAGAGACTGTGTCCTTTAGAAGAGCCGTGCTACCCGTCTCTGCCTTACACACACGAGGTGTTCACCTCCACACCCAAACGCAAGTCCAAGACTGAGACCAAGAAGCACGCTCGATGGAAACTCTGGTTCCTCTAACATATGGATTCAGGGAACCTTAAACCATCAGGCCACCACAACGAGCAAATTCTAGTGGAATTCTGCTTCACTAAATGGATAAACATGGAGAAATGTTCACTGCTAGCCACCGTTTTGGAACATGCATCATGGGATCCATCGAGTGACTGGATTTTCATAAGGAATAACAGTTGTTTTCTAATCATGACCCTCTGATAAACCCTCTGAGTTTGGGAACTGCTGAATTCACCTGATCTCACGTTTTCCAAAGGGATTACACAATGATCCTTTGGTTTAGACAAGTTAGCAAGGTAAGAGAGCAGGGATGTTTGTACTGTAGATGTGTGTGTGTGTGTGTGTGTATTGTTTCCCATGTTTAACTCTGATCTTTCTCTCTCCTTTCTACATTTATCCTGTTGTATTTAGGGAACCTGCAGAGGCGACAAGGAACTTGGAGCCTACTTTGGAGCCGTACATCAAAGACATCTAATCAGCAAAGCACAAACTTTTGAGAGTTATAAAGTAGATTTGATAGCTGAGATATACCTCTGTCTCTTTCTTTCTTGCTTTCCTTCTTTCTAAAAGTCTCACCTCTTCAATTTTAAATGAAAATTGGTTATCATTCTATGACTAAATAAATAAAAAATTGTAGTGAGTAAAAGCAGAATCAGTTGACGGCATGCACTAATAATCGATGGCTTTGTAGAGATCTTTTTCCTGAAAAACGTTGAAGATGTAAAATTAGTATGTCAGAAATGGTTAGGCTGTAAATGTATGAATGAAAATGGGTTTACACAGTTGTTTAAAAAAAAGTTTTAATTTATTTTTTGAAAATACAAACTGTGAATTGTCTTTAAATTATATTGAGTTCTGTATCAAATAATGGGCTATAAACATTGCTGAGATGAGAAAAGCATTCACAGAAAAATTTCTATTTGCAGGGTTTCAGGCCTGAATATTTTCTTGGGAATACGACGCTGCATTTACAGCATAAACATACATTTTTCAGTAAATATATTTGTCAGACTCATAAAGATGCTTGAAAATATTACTAAGTTGGCTGAAAATTGGTAACATATAATATGTCCCATGATGAAAAAGTATGTTATATGTTATATGGTGGAAAGTGCACAACTTCAAAACACAAAACAATAGATGCAGGCTCTATAATACACACCACTCTGTTCAAGCTGACGTGTCATTTGCTCAATTAAATTTGAATATGATGGAAGCCAATCACTAAAATCTTGTGCTTGTTTGCCCACCTAAAGCAATGTAATGAAATGATCACAACACACAATTTGGGAAGTATAATAATGCAGGTAACATATAGAGGGCTATGTATATACAATCTGTGCTTAGCATTTATTTAGCTTTAAAACGTGTTTGTATTAGATATTCACAAATGTCTTCAACAGGTTCACTACAGTGCAAACACTGTATTTAGCTGGTAGCCCAAGCACCTTCACACTTGGAGGGCATTTTGATAACTATAGGTTATATATTTAAAAGTAATAATAAGTTGGTCACTTCACAATATCTTGTTTAAATGGAGCACAGTTACCTGCATAACGTATTCTTGTAGCATAACACAGATGCATCATTATACCTTGAGAAAGTGCAATTGATTTATATTGTGCAATATTACATTTTATACAATTTCTACCCACAGTGCATTTACAATAAAGAAACTGATGCAACATATTATGACTCGACTGTGCTGTTCCCATGAATGTTCTTAAGACCAAAGAAATGTGGGTTGCTTTGGGATTCTTGCAAAGTGGATTCTGGTGGTGATACTCAATTCAGGAAGATGATTGAATAGTGCTTTGAACAGGACTCAGCTGGAGGACGAGATGGTTGCAACACTTCTCTCTAAAATTGATTGGCTTCAGCTTTGGCGCACACTCCACAGACGTGCTCTGTGATTGGACAGCCTCCAGTAGAACACCTGCTGCCAACATACTGTCACTCACTTTGACTCAAGGGAAGAAATATTCCTCTGAACTCATTCTGCGAACATAACTAATGTAAACATAGTGAATGTAATTCTGCTGAGCTTGACCCATCGAAGGGAAATGATTCCAAATGAATCTCTCAAGACTTTGAATGCACTTATTCTCTGATCAAACAGCCTTATTTTAGTATTGATAACAGTAGCCACTTCAGCTAATGAGCACATGGAAGTCATGACCAAAAGGACTTGGAAAACTGATTGCAGTTTTGTCTCCTTGCAATCTTTCCAAACAGATTCACAGAGGAGTCTTGATTACATTTTTTTTTTAGGTGCAGGGAAAAACAAAAACAAATGGATTTGCAAAAAGTGAAAGTTTTTCCAAGAACAGAAACCTAATTTATCCTCAAAGTCATAAAATCAAAATGAGCAATTCTTGGTCTTTAATGGAATATTGCCGTAATTATTAGAAATGATTTATCGTTCACATCATTGTTTTTTTTTTTTAAACCCCTTTATAATCTTTAATCAAAATAACTTCCTCTCTGACTTGCAGCAACATCTCTTCTCTGATGATGTTTACTGGCAGGAGGGCTGGACAACCTGTCACTCACATGACATCACAGCAATTAGCAAACCACAACCATCCAATCAATTCCTGATGGACAAAATCAACCCTATATGCAGTTTCTCTTGAATATACTGTGTCACAATAGGGAAGAAAAGACTATTGCAACTTTCGTTTCATACTGATTGTTTTTTTTAAAACAAGATAATTTTACTGTTTCAACGGAATGGAAACCTTGAGATAAAAAAAAAAAAAAAATGTCCAAGTTGCTTTCATTGTGTTGGAATGAATTTTTTTTTTTTTTTTTTTATGTATTCATTTTTTTTATTTATTTTTTTTAGAGAGAAGTGCAGACACATTTTCATGGAAATATTTTTATACTTCCTTACCAAAACTACAACAAAGGCTGTAGAGGATTGTGATGCTGGCAGAAAACAATTTTACCAGTGAACAGATAACCAGATCTCATTTCAAAGAGAACTGTGCTGAGGATAAATCTTATATAGCATATGGAGTGACTGTAATCTTCCCAATAGCCACTCATGCTTTGAGTGCCTCTCGTGTCTGACAAAATCCATATTTCGCCACTGGCCTTTAAAAAGCAGTGAAAAGTTATCCAGCTTGCCTGCTCCCATGACCTCAAAATAATAACTGTAGACTATCGAATAAATGTAGACCATAGAATAACAAGATCTCAATATAATATAACCCAAGGGTTTTTAAATAAATCAAAGAGAAAAAATATTTCTTTATAAAAAACTCTTTATAATTTATTATATATTATATTATATATGCTTATTTAATTTAACCATTTTTATTTATTAAATAAATGTTTAACAATATTTTAAAGCATTTTACAAATTTGCTATTTTTATTAATATTTTGCTTTCTTAAGACTGGATGGAAATCATGAGATCTTAGTTTTAACAGTAAAAACGTCTCGGTTACGTATGTAACCCTCGTTCCCTGAAGGAGGGAACGGAGACGTAGTCGACGTGTCGACTGATTGGGATCTCACTTAGAGAGCCTGACATCTTCGAGTACTATTAAAACGAGCCAATGAAATTGGCGTGCGTGAAATGCATCACACACTCCGCCCCCGCCCCGCGGGTATAAATACGGAAGTGGATGCACGCACAAGTGTTTTTCACTGAGGAGCCGAGCGTAACTCGGAGTCAGCGGTGGTCCAGCAATAGTGGCTACGGGACTACGTCTCCGTTCCCTCCTTCAGGGAACGAGGGTTACATATGTAACTGAGACGTTCCCTTTCAGTCGTTCACGTTCGACGTAGTCGACGTGTCGACTGATTGGGATCCCAATAAAAACGCCATCTAATGCTGCCACCTTCCAGCGCCTAGACAAAAGCCTCCAGATCCCCCCGCAATAGGCGGGGAAAGGACAGGGCTTAGGCCAGGGAAGTCACTGCTGTTCCTACAGGACCACTGGCAAAGCGTTCCCTGAACATGAAAGAAAGGGACGCTGCGGAAGCCACATCCTGCCCGAAGGGAGGTAACATGTGGAGAATACACATATGAACTGGGCGGATGACCGAGCAGTACAACATATGGAATGTCACTGGGGTGGCTCCAGCCAACAGGGGGGAGACTCAACCGAACAGTGACGGCAGAGCAGGCTCTGCCAAGGGAAGACACGGGCTCGCCGCAGGGAGCCATACCGTGGAAGAATACACATATGGGATCGCCGTAGGGATCACAGCATATGGACCCAGCCTAACACAGGTTCCACCAGTGCATACGAGTGATAGGCCTGGCTTCGGACATTCCGCCATCTCCGTTGCCGAAGGGTATGGAGGAACTCGACAGGGTTCGGCTGATAAAGGGGAACTCAACTGGAGCAAGAATTGCGCACGTATCCAGTCCATAGGAGGGGATAATGGCGCAGCAAGCCAACACAACGAACCGGGCTTACAGTGAAACTGGCTTCATGTGAAGGGAGCCCATGGGAAGCAGCGGTTCAGCTAAGGTGTCGCCCAGCCCTCAACTCTAGAATATCTGTCAGCGAAGCACTCTGTGTCAACGCCGAAGCAGGAGCACACTCTCAATTAAGAGGAGCTCACCACCTAAGTGGACATGTGCATCTTGGGAATTCACCAAGATGAAGGCAACATCCGTGGGCCAACCTCGCTTGGAAACAGCCTTCCCTCTCTGCTGATTTCCTTAACAGATAAGAGCTGATCTGAGGTCCTATGGCTTGCGTTCTGTGCACGTAACCCCGCAATGAAGCGGACGGACAGAGAAAGCCAGGGCTGGGTCTGCTTTCTCCAGGCAGCGCTTGCAGGCTCACCACCTGGTCCTTTTAAGGGAGAGGTAGGAACCTTGGGCACATATCCAGGCCGGGGTCTCAGCTAGTGAGAGTTAGCCGGCCCGAATTCCAGGCACAAGTCGTTGACCGAAAGCGAGCAAGTCCCTACCCTCTAGAAGAGACCATGCGAACAGGAGAACTGTAAAAAACAGAATTTTTAACTCACTGCCTGCAGTGGCTCAGGGGTGGTCTCTGATAGCAAATAGCACCAGAGACAGGCCCAAGAGGATAAAGAGGGGCGCAGGGATGACCCTTGCTCCCCCAGGAACCTGGCGATCAGGACGTGCTTCCCATTCTTCTGCATATGATGTTTGTATCATATTGAGGGTGAAGGAACAGCCTACTCCAACCCAACTTGCAGGAAGAGAGCACTGAATGACCGAACGCTCTCAGGATCTCCTCACGGAGAGAAGACTCATTCAACGAATAGGTTCCACTCCTAGCTAGCGAAGCACAACTGCCTTATATTAAGGGGGTGCTTGCAGAAGTGATGATCACTACCACATATCCTTGTGATAGCGACCTGAACCTCCCCGTCCAGTTCTTTGACTACGCGGGTGCCATCATGCCCCGTCCCAGAAAGTATTCAGGGGAAGTCAGGAA